TTCTCAACTGGAGACACGATCAGCTGCTAGTCAGGGAACACATTTTTTCCCTTTTTGTCAATATGGACATCGTCATGCAGCTGTTTCAGAAGCAGTCTGCGCCTTGGAAGCGCATTGTGGAAATTCACATTTGGAAGGTCATGAACACTGTTAAGGCATTCGTAGACGAGGCTTTGGAGGAGATTGTCGGATCGCACGGCTCCAGTAGCACAACGAATAATTCCTATCCACTTGCGTCGACCCCTTCTTCGCCAAGAAAGAAGACCTGCTGTCAGACAAACTTGGAGATATTATGCGGCCATACAAGGAGGGTTATGCTTTGCCTCTTGACACTGATTTCCAGGAGACTTTGGGAAGGACGATTGCTAAACGCCCCAGCTCGCAAGCCGGAAACTTGACGATCTCGCGCCAACAAACCAATGTTTCAACAGTTTCTTCAGCGGCTGACTGGCATGGGGCATGTGTCCTTTTTTGACGCTATGCAAACCTTTTACGATGTAAGCCTGGCACACTTGGTATCCAAATACCGTGGCCAAGTCTAACTTTGTCTGATTTAGTCTGCCTTGCTAACATTCACTGACAACGTCATTAACCTCGCAATCGAGAGCTGCTTGATGCAAGACCAATTTTCACACCGAGGCTTGTCAATGATATAATTGATGGAGAAGTGTCACATATAGCGATGTAATCTGATGATATCCGGAGCTATCGCTCTGAGCTCGAGGAACTTATCAAGCAGCTGAAGCGGGGGCTCGAAGTGTGTCGTCGCTTCCGATCCAGATCAACTGTTGCAAAGTTGAGGTCTACAAAGAAGAGCATTCATGAAACTCGAACGGCAACCACGCCGACTTCGGCACTAGACGATTTTGGAGCCATAGCACCCTTCACTCAGCCACAAACAGTTCAACTACTCTCGAGACGAATCCCGGAGATGCCAAAGCCCAAGGCAGACGTTTCAGAAGTATCATCAGGTACTGGGCTGTTTGGAGCATCAACACCTGTACCCAGCCTCTCGACTTCAGCAACCGCGCCGCTGGCCCTTTCAGCTGCCCAAGAGACGAACAAGTTCGCTTTTCGAAACCCGGTCACAGGTAGTGTCTACTCTTCGGGTACTCCTCCGGAATCTAGGCAAGAAATTGTGCCACGCAATATTAAAAAGGCAAGGGGCGATCCATCAGCCGCTTCAAATTCACCTGCAGTCCTTAATGGGAAGGTTTGGGGAGACTCAATCAAATAGTCCTTCAAGCCACGCTCACCAGCTCCCAAGACGGGCTCCGGCATTCAAATCACAACGAACAATCCAAGTGCGTCCCCGTAGCCCGTGGCAGAGTAATTATTCAAACCAATTCGTAGCTATCAAAGACGAATCGAAAACTTGTCATGAGGACTAGCTCAGACGCTGCACCATGTTGATCCCTATGTCGAAGGCCGAATTACGGATATACCGCCATGCTCAACACAATGAAGATTTCTTTTATCATTACATAGGTGTCTGCAAAGAATATTTGGGGTTTTCACAGGAGGAGATCAGGTTGGCGGATTATTTCGCCAACTTCAAGAATGAATAAATGCGGGTGTCGGAAGGACGAACATATGGTGGGAGCGATTTGTGGAGTGCTCATTGATCCACATCAGTTGCATTCTAGATTCCAATAATAAGTAGATGTTTCATCAATTAGATTATGGAACCCAGAAGCTTTCGGTCTCTTTCAAGAATAGAATATGCAAGTGCTGAGCCAACTCTGGCCAAGAGTCTTCAACGCCAATTTGAATCCTCAATTGTTTGACATGCCCCGCGTGTTGCTGAAGCTATCCTGCAACGGGACAGGGATAGAGCTCCTCAGTCTCCATCCGAATGAGTGGGCATGACGTACGCATCGCTGCTCGCTGTTAAGCTGTCTGTTCACTGCTCACCTGAACATTGGGGAGCGATCCTCATTTTGACTCAACCAAGATGGACTCGGTGATCCGAATGAAGACCTCGCTTCCGCTAACACGGGGAGCAGCAGTCGGGAATTTCTTCGCGGGATCCGCGGTCACTTTTGTTGGGGTTTGGGGGGCGGGCAGAAAGTCAACAGTAACAGCTCAGCGAGTCACAGCTCCACCCGGTGGCATCAACGTGCCGACCGCGAGAGAGCTTGTGCGAGCGGAATTACCCTATTGTATCGTTTCTTTTCTGGATGACCTGCAGCTGCGCTGCCCCTTGCCCCTCACCTCCATCCCTCAACCTCTCCACCCGTTTCCACCAATCCCCGGAGCCACATCCGCTTGGCCGAAGCTACCATGCCGGTGTACCTCCTAGCAGTGCTTCCTGAATTGACTCAGACATGCGACCGTAGCTAACCGCCGGCTTAGCTTTCCAGCGCCAGCCAGCCAGCACCGGCCTGGCTTGCTGGGCCTGATCGGTTACTCGGTCACTTCCTTGGTGTTGGCAAGGGGGGATGAGATGCTGATCGACCGATTCCCGAGACGTGCGAACCCTGAAGCTACAAAACCCCTCACCCCTCATTCTCAATGCCGAGTCGAAGCTCTTTGACAGCTGGTTCTTGATTTTGACCTTTCTTCAAGCTTTTGCGGTACAGAATTGACGGGAGAGAACCGGACCGTGACAGCCGGGCTAAGGAGTACATCTTCCCATTGGAAAGTTAATTGCCGACCAACACCGAGGCTTCTGTGTTTCTATCCCTGACGCGTCAGTCACGCCAGTACATCAAGGTGTCGATTCCAGAAACTCGATAGTCATCAAAACGAGGACCAACACAATGGCCGTGGCCAGGAACGTCGTCACACGGGGCCTGCGACGGGCTGCCCTCGAAAGAAATGTTTTCTCCTCACAGATGAACAGGCGGTCGATGCCGCTCGTGTCCCGGGCATGCATGTCATCCGTTGCCGAAGCCATCGCCGTTGCCCCCGCTCCGCCGCCACCGGTCGAGGACCCAAGCTTCCGCGCCGCCCAACGGGCCACAGAGGCCAAAGAGATCATGCGCCGCGCAGTCAATGCAACGGGAGTTAGACACGACTGGACGAGGGAAGAGATCTCCGCCATCTACTATCAGCCATTGATGGATCTGGCCTTCCAAGCTGTATGTCACTTCGTCCCGAATTCGAACCCCTGCTAACAGTTCTTCTGCCCAGGGATCCGTCCATCGTCGATTCCACAACCCCGCTGAGGTCCAGCTCTGTACCCTCATGAACATCAAGACCGGAGGCTGCACCGAGGACTGTTCCTACTGCGCCCAGTCCACCCGTTACTCCGATGGCACCGGCCTGAAGGCGAAAAAGGTTGAGAGCGTCGAGTCAGTGCTGGCAGCGGCACGCACCGCCAGGGACAATGGCAGCACACGCTTCTGCATGGGCGCCGCTTGGCGTGACATGCGCGGCCGCAAGAACAGTCTCAAGAACATCAAGGCCATGGTCAGCGGTGTTCGGGAGATGGGAATGGAAGTCTGCGTCACGCTCGGCATGATTGACTCCGAGCAGGCCAAGGAGCTCAAGGAGGCTGGATTGACAGCGTACAACCACAACGTCGACACCAGTCGCGAATTTTATCCCTCCATCATCTCCACAAGAAGTTACGATGAGCGTCTCAAGACACTGAGTCACGTTCGTGATGCTGGTATCAACGTCTGCTCTGGCGGTATCCTTGGATTGGGAGAGTCGTCGGATGACCGTATCGGACTGTTGCACACCGTCTCGACCCTGCCGTCGCACCCAGAGAGCTTCCCAGTCAACGCGCTTGTCCCGATTAAAGGTACTCCGTTGGGCGACAGGACACCGATCCAGTTCACGAGCATGCTGAGGACCATCGCGACTGCGCGTATCATTATGCCATCCACCATCATCCGCATTGCCGCTGGAAGGAAAACGATGTCGGAGGAGAAGCAGGCGCTGTGCTTTATGGCCGGTGCCAACGCCATCTTCACGGGAGAGAAGATGTTGACGACAGACTGCAACAACTGGGACGAGGATGGCGCTATGTTTGGCCGCTGGGGCCTGGAGCCAATGAAGAGCTTTGAAAAGTCTGAGAAGCCCGTGGCTGAGGTTAAGTTGGTTAACCTGTGATAAATGACTGGTAGAGCAGAAGTATAAATGAGACAGACTGAGCGATTGGGTACTGATAGAAACCGACCCACCTGTGGGCTCAGCTGTGACTCTCGCACTGCATCTCATAAAGGCTGAATCTTTGATCCTTTTCACATGCAAGCCGTTATCTGCGTGTAGAGAGCCACGTGATCACGTCACTTCTAGCAACAGTTGTCGAAGGATCGAGAGTGCTGTCTAGGTTTCGTCTGATATGATGCCACGCACGAGCCGACACGTTGACACCGAGCTTTGCATACACCCAAACATGTTGCGACACGCAGTTTCTTCCAGGAGCTAGCCAGAACACTCTGAAATGATGGTTGAGGCGGAATCCGGGCTCGTCAAGGATCCCGAACGTAAAAGTTTCGCGTAGCAACAGCCGCTTTCCGAAGCTATGGCTACTCCGACGATTTGCATCGGGGTTGGCAGAAGCCCAATGCAAAGGAACTGCTGTTTACCCCAGCTTCAATGAGAAGTAGAGAGAAATACTCAGACTCCCTCCATTGAGCTCTTGAGCGCATGCGTTTGAATGCGCTCTGGAATGCTAAAGTCCAGGCCATGTGCTGCCATCAATCCGGGGAGAGCAGCACTCCGAACCATTTGTCCTAGCTTACAGAAGAAGTCTTCCAAGAAGCCGTTACGAAGTATGGGACGAGGCCCGTGAGTCTCTTACCTCAGAAAATAGAAGTGAGGGAACGGTTCAGCGACAGTCTGTTGAGAGCTAACGCCGTTGATGAGACGATTCGGAGCTCACGAGGCGATCCTTCCCCTTCGGCACATGGAGGTGGCATCATAAAGCATGGATGAGCTCCTGCTAGCTTGCTGCCGAGCTTTGGCTCGCCTTCAATTATCCACCAACCAAAGTGAGAGCGATTTGCAAGCGTAATAGTCCACAGTTGACGACATCACACGACATCATGGGCTCTCTTGCAGACTATTCGGTGCCACAAGAGGCTAAGGCAGCCTTCATCAGTGGGATTTTGGAGAACCCTCTCATGAAAGACATCCCGAGTGATCTAAAGTCTCTCGGGCATCATGTCAAGTTCGAGGGCACCAGCAGGCCTAGCATTCCCGTTAATTGGAAATTCGCGGAAAGCATTGCCGCATTGAAGGCATACGAGGCGACACTGGTTAATCGATTGATTATGAAGAAGTACAACAGTCAACCAGCAGAAGTCACTATTAACACGTAAGTAAGGCCAAATAGTGTGAATTCCTACTGGAAAGTTTACTGACTTGGAATGGATAGCGATCATGCAGCATTATTCTTCTTTTCGCCCCTGATTGCCTCTTTGATCGGAGACGACGGCAAAAAGACCCCGATGGCAGTCGCAGGTTTCTTGCCCGAGGTGATGAAGATGTTTCCCAATACAGATCTCCATAGATGCTCTGCGAGCCTTCATAGACAACTTGCGACCAACATCTACAAGACCAAGGACGGAAAATGCTACCAGATGCACTGTAAGTCAGCGATCTCAATGAGATGGAGATGGCTCTAACGTGAAGGCAGCTGGCATTAATCCCGACCCAATCCTCAAGACCGTCGGCATGCCGGCCGACGGCGAGACGATCGACACGTACGACGCTGTGGTCGAGCGCTTTGCGAAGGTCGTTGCGCAGTACAATTGGAAGGAACTCGACGAGCTCCTTAACGAGAAGAATAAACATGAGGGGTGCATTGCATGGTCATCTCAGGAGTACTTTGCCAGCGAGCAAGGCAAAGCGGTCGCACATGTTGGACTCTACGAGATCGCTAACGCTAATGATGCGTCCCATACGGGAACTTGGTGGCCTGAGAATGACCACCTTCCCTCGTCACCACAGAGGCCTCTCGCAGGCCTCAAGGTCGTCGACTTGTCTCGCATCATCGCAGGTCCCGCAGTCTCCCGCGGCCTCGCTGAGCTCGGGGCTAGTGTGATGCGCGTTACGTCCCCCTACGTTACCGACATGTCCGTCCTTCACCAGGATCTCAACTGGGGCAAGTGGAACTGCCACTTGGATCTTAATAATGAGGCGGACAAGGAGAAGCTGAGGGCCCTTATTCGGGACGCCGACGTTGTTGTTGACGGCTACCGCCCCGGTGTGATGCAAAAGCACGGTTTCGGTCGGGAGGACATCTTCGACATGGTTAAGGGCCGCACTCGGGGAATTATCCATCTCCGCGAGAACTGCTATGGGTGGCATGGTCCTTGGAAGAGTCGTGGTGGGTGGCAGCAAGTTAGCGACGCGGTGAGTCAAGACGAACGTGTTTCGGTGAGAGGACTGCGCTGACGTTTGATTCTCAGTGCTGCGGCGTTTCTTCTGCTTATGGTCGGGCTATGGGTCATGATGAGGCTGTGGTGCCAGCTTTCCCCGTGGCTGACTACGGGTAAGTGGAATTGACTTATCTAAAGGAATGCTTCGAGCTGACAATTGGATAGTGCCAGCATTTGTGGCAGTGTGGGTGTTCTGGACGCCTTGATGAGACGGGCGGAGAGGGGCGGTAGCTATGGCGTTGATGTGAGTCTGCCCGGAATCTCTTCCCTTCATTTGCTGACCGACAAAGGTGGCGTTGAACTATTACACCCAGTGGCTCATCCGATCTTGCGGTGAGTATCCGGAGCCTGTATGGAAGGAGCTCTGGAAGCGCCATGGTTCACCGGTATACAGGCATTATCATGCTATGCCGTATACGGTGCCAGCCGTGGGGAAGCTTCTTTACCAGCATGATATGGACACCCTCTTCCAAGAACATTTCTTAGAGCCGCGGAGGTCGAATGCCGTTGACGGTACTTTCATGGTGGTAAAGCCTGTTGCTCAGTACGCCGACAAAGCTGTCGATTTGAGATTCAATGTCGGCACGAGAGGCAACGGTGTTGACCAGCCGATTTGGCCTGCGGATCTTTCCGTTGAAGTTGTCAAGAACTAGCAAAGGGCTTGTCTTCTACGAGTCCACAGGGTGATGCACATTGTTTGCACGTTAGAGTAATCAACTCAAGAATAACAAAAGTGATGTTTTAACAAAGTTGCTATCATCTAGATCTTGATATTCAGAGATTACAAAAGAATACGCTTGTTTCACTGTTTCAAATCCCTTGCGTATGGATGTCCTGGGCGTACTTGTCGATCGGAATCCCTCTGACTTGGAAATCCATGCGCACTATCTCCCTTCGTGACAATCGGATTTGCCATGAGATTATATTACTAGGAAGCTATCTCTTTGCGTCGAAGTTCCTCAACGGCTATAGCCAGCTCAGCAGGTGTGATCCCAGCGGGATCACGAAACTGCTTATACGACTCCCCGTCCTTTGGTCCCAACACCCCGGCGTCCTTCACGAACCCTCTATGAGAATCGAACAAGAACAGTGTTGCATGTAGTTGGTCTGGCGCTACCTCTGTGGTATGAAACGCAGCTGCAGGAATAGAGTACGTATCGTTCCGTACATGCTTCTCAGTGGAGGTCTCGACGGCCTTGAATAGCTTCCCTGTGTTCTGCACAATGGAATAGGCTTGATGGGTCTTGTACGTCGCATTCTGCCCCTTTCCATCATTCCACGCAAGGGCGTACCCCGCGTTTGTCGCCTCGTCGACATCATCAACGGCATCAACTTGATAGGCGTGATCTCGCCCCTCACCCGCGAGGATCCAGCTCTGTGCAAAGGGCTGATGAGAGTGTAGTGTGAAATCTGGGTTCGCGCGCTTGCCATCTGGCATCCAGACGTGCAGACGGAAGAGCTCGTCGATGCTCCCGTCTTTGAGCAGGCTGCAGAGGGGAACGGCCAGCAGGCCTTGAGCGCTGCGGTTTGCGGTGAAGAGGTTTCGGGAGAGATTCTTGCTGGTGAGAGCTGCGCGGATAGTGGTCCATATCCGGTCTAGATCTTCCGGTGTTGCTGGTTGATTCTGGCGGCATTTTTCTCGCACAGAGGCGATTGCGACAGATAGAGAGGCAATGTGGAGGGAAGTCTCGTCGAGTTCTGATATAGTTTCTGCGATTAACGAGTTCCATTCTTCGATGGAAAGACCCTCTGAATGCGCCTTGTTCACTATGTTGTTCTGTTCTGATGACGCGAGCGCGACGTTGAAGTCAACCCTATTCAATTCCTCCTCCGTTGACTTCGTAGCATTTGCGATCCCCTGTAGGGACCTCAAAACTGAGGATACTGTAATCGACATTCTGGGCTGTTTGTTGGCTATAGTGGGCTTGAAGTGTGCTACGCGTATAATGAGATATGTATGCACTGGTGAGTGATCATCTGGACACTGTCCATGCGACTACAAGAAGCTGAAGTTCTTAAGTAAAAGATCTTGTAGATTGATAAGGCTTTAAGTAAGGCGTTCCAATGGGCTGCATTCTGACGACGTTAGGCAAACAAGGGGGACCAACCAAAGTCGCACATCTGTGCTACACAGCCTCATTTGGGGGGTATTCAGGCTGCAGGCAACAGCCCACTCCGCCCACAGCCATGTGGGAGTCATGCGGCACTTTTTGAAAAGTAGATAATGCATGGGTTCAAAGGCATAATTAGCTATGATACGGGAATTCCTATTGCAATTGCTTCGTTGCAACGACATACCGTTGGCTTTCTGCCTCATGGCAATGTTCTTACAATGCACCAAAAAAAGTCGAAATAAGAACCATCCATGAGAGAGGTATTATTTCGTCCAAGACCTGGCGCTGCTAGGCTACCTTAACCAGGCCCAGGTACCTCGAGGACACTGCTGGCAGTCAATGTCAGCGGGCTTAGGAGCTAAGTAATCCAATCATTCTCCATCGCCCCGGCTCCCGCTCCGACCCCGGGCTCACGCTCATCGCCCTGGTCGCTTTTTCAGTCTGGCTGTGATTCCAAAGTTTTCCGTATTCACTCATCCTTCCTCCAACTAGACACTTCGCGAGACCAAATCGTAGACGAGAAGGTACGTTTCAATCTCTAGATAGTATAAAATGAGAAGCTTCCAATGCTCTAAGGGCGGATTAGGATAGGCCAAATTCCAGGAGACCGTCACCCGCCGCTGCCAGACAAAATGTCGCACCAGTTATTGAGGGTTCCGGAAGAAAGTCGAAGTAATCAATGCAATTCTGCCGCTTGATTCGATACCTTCACCTGACTGGGGTCAAGCAGTCAAGTGGTCGACTCTTGACTGTGTTCTTGGAATGAAGACTTCGAGTTTTGATGTTGAGCTGATGCATCACTACTTCAATGTGATCGCCGATATACTCACTAGCCGTGTATATGCATAACGTCTAACACTTACGTCTGGCACACCATTAAATATTGATCAATGTTGATGAAGACATGAAATTACATCATTATTGAGCTACGAAACTCTTATTTTCCAACCCCATTGGTACCCTTCGCGGCCTTGTGTGTCCCTGTTACAGGAGCGCCATTGTTCGCTGTCACACTCTTACCCTGCGAGACGTTGATACCGTTCGCGTACCTATTCTTCTCATCCTTGGCAAAACCGTTGTGAGTGCCGTTAAACCTCATGTTGGCAATGCCCTCATAACCCTTGATACCAGTACTCTTCTCCAGCCTCTCGGCAATCTCGGGGTCAACCTCCCTGAAGATGGCAATCTGCCTCTTCAATGGTTCCTGATCCTTGCATAACTCCATCTTTCCAGTGACGTTGTTGATGAAACGCTCACGGGCAGACTCGTCCCATACCTTCTGCCACAACGCGCGAGGAGCAACGAAGTCCTCGGGTCGGATCTCGGATAAGAAGGTGATGGCTTCGCCGGTGAAGTGACCATGCGCCTTATCCAAGTCGACGGTGCGGCTCTTGAACTGGATGGGTGCAACGGAGCTGAGATAGTTGGGCCTGGCGCCTTGATTGAAGAAAGCCATGGCGCCATCGCGCTGGAAGTTGCCCGCGTTGAAACCGTTTCGAGGGGCGTTAACGGGGAGTTGTTGGTAGTTTACGCCGATGCGGTGGCGATGAGTGTCTGGGTAGGAGAAGAGTCGCGACTGCAACACGGGATCGGCTGAGGGCTCAATACCAGGAGGCATGTGCGCGGGGTTGAAGGCAACCTGCTCAACCTCGGCGAAGTAGTTGACGGGGTTCTCGTTGAGGGTAAACTCGCCGATCTTCTTGAGTGGGTACTTGCCCTGCGGCCAGACGTGCGTCAAGTCGAAGACGTTGATCTTGTCGTTCTCCCACGCCTCCTCGGCCTGCTTGGGTGTCATGGTCTGAACCTCGACGGACCACTTGGGGTAGTCACCCTTCTCGATCGCCTCGAAGAGATCCTTTCCGGAGTAGTCGGCTGACATGGTGAGGGAGTCCTCCTGGGTGATGAACTTGGTGCCCTGCTGGGACTTCATGTGGATCTGAGCGTACACCCAGTCGCCGTCCTTGTTGACGAGCTTGAGAGTGTGTCCTGCGTAGCCGTGCATGAAGCGGTAGCCGTCGGGAATGCCGCGGTCACCCATGAGGATCATGACCTGATGGATGGACTCGGGGTTTTGCGAAAGGTAATCCCAGAACTGAAGACCGTTAGTGGCTGAGTCTACTGATTACGAGAGGGATAATTACCATAAATGAGTCGTCGTTGTGGTTGAGGTTGGTCTGCGGATTCCTCTTCTGCGTATGAATAAAGTGAGGAAACTTCGCGGGATCCCTCAGAAAGAAGACAGGCGTGTTGTTCGCAACCATATCCCAGTTACCGTCCTCCGTCCTAAATTTCACAGAAAAGCCTCTCGGATCGCGCTGAAGATCAGGCGAGCCAGACTCTCCTCCGACCGTCGAGAACCGCACCGTGATGGGGCACTTCTTGCCCTTAGTCGAGAAGATGTCGGCCTGGCTGAGCTCGGGAATCGGGTTCGTGCACTCGAAAAAGCCGTGTGCACCGCTGCCCTTGGCGTGAACGACACGCTCCGGGATTCTCTCTCGATCGAAATGTGACAGCAGGTCGATCAAGTGAAAGTCTTGCAAGAGCAACGGGCCATTTTCGCCACATCGCTGCGTCTCGTAGGGGTGAGGCATAGGCACACCGTTGCTGGTGGTGTAGATGGCATCCTTGGACTGCATCCGCCTGTCCTTCTCGTAGGTACTGAACTGGTTGGCCACGTGGGCCTGGAATGAGGTGTTGGTGGAACCCATGTTGAACGTCTTTTGCGCTGCGTCGATGGGGTGTTTGATGATTCGTTGGACTGTATCCATTGGGGTGTACCACTATGCGATAAGTGATCTTATATCAGGAGACGCGGCTGGAAACATGCCGCCTCTGGCCGGGCTTTTGGCCCTCGTCTTATGTTATGTGTGGCGACCATGGCGACGGGACGATCAAAGTCAATGCCATGACGCAGATGAACATGGTTCACACATTCCGACGGCTGCAACGAATCAGGGACGGGATATTACTACGATGAAGTCCCGCGATGAGACAGCGGTGCTTTCACGGTGGTTGTGGCGTGGAAGCTATTCCAAAGGAGCCTTAGGGCGCGCCTTAGGGCAGCCGGGATTCTCAAGTCAATGACGCTTGGAGCGGAAGCTTGACCACTCGATGGACTTGCGTTCTGTTCCAGAAGAGCACTTGATCGGCGTTCATTGGCTGAGTAACAGTGGCCATTGGCTCTCAATCACAAATCGTGGTCAGAAAATGGATGTGAAGATGCGTTCACTGCGGGGCAGACAGCTTGAAGACGTGGGCTAGGTGCCGGGGGCGTTTCCACTAAGCTGGAAACGATGGAGAGGTGTCCGGGGCAACGGCAGAATCTCCATCTTTCAATATGGAATTGCTGAAATTCCATGCTCAGGAGACACAGAAACTACAGATTCGGGGCGAAACCACCGATCTGCATGAACACGCTCGATGATGTCTGCGAATGGGTGGCCACGGCCCGCTGATGTCATGGACTCGAAGCCCGAGCCAAGACCGGTGACAGCCCCCACCCCCGCCGCAACCCACTCCGGGATGACATCGGCATGGGTATCGGTGTTTGATAATCTTTTGAAGGTCTAGAACGGCCTTCCGGAGCTTTTGATCAGTAGCCACGTGGAATTAGTCTTACGGCGAAGAGTGTGCAACGAAATAAACAGTGAAATAGCATGAATCAAAACTTTTCCCATCTAAAGATACACCTGAGCCATGCATACCAGTGTCAGTTGCTCTAATTACACATGTCCCAATCGGCAAGCTTCTATCTTTCTTCGAAGCATTCTAGGCGTTCGGATAGTAAGTGACGGTTAATTGTGAAGTCGCTGTCGATAAATGAATGCAGCAGCATTTGAAATGAGGGATGTCTGTCCCCGTCGACCAAATCGAGACTCGGGCCGGCCTGTCGGCACCGGCAGTTGGTCGAGGACGTCACCCGCCGCGCATAGATGGTATGCCCTCCACGCGCGTGCATTCTGCTTTTACTCCTGCGAACTACCTTCTTCAGTCTCCTCGTCAACTCTAACGCTATTTGATGGTGGGTAATGCGCCAGGAGCAAGACACCGACGGCGACAACGGCGAGGGCCTAGACTGTGGTCAGCGATTGGATGTAGAAGTCCTGGAGATGGAACAACTCACCGCATTGCAAAAGAACGTCAAGTTAGGCTTGCCAATGGCCGCTAAAGACGCAAAGATGAGACCGAACAAACCCTGCGTCGTCAAGGTAGCCGCACTCTCTACGAGGGTGACTGCACTCAGGGCGTCCTGACGCTGGTGGGGTGGGCACATCTCGGTGATGACACCCTTGGCGGCAGGGGCGGACCCGGAGGCGAACGGCAGCAGGAACGCGGCTGTTGGGATGTCAATATCGTGCCTTGCAAATGATATGAGGTGAGTGGGCTTACCAAGATAAACATGCCATCCCTCAGTTGCCCAAGCTGCAAGGGACGTCACGATGCCATCGACGACCAAAGACCAACGGAGGAAGAATAGATCGAATGTGCTGTCTTCATCTTCTTCTTCGGGGGGTGCTTTCGTCGGCTCCGAGGCGTTCATCAGCCCGGGCGCCGGGTCCATGTCTTCGGGATGGGTGGGGATCAAGTTCCGCTCCTCTTCAGTAAGGGTCTTTTGGAGAGCTCCCGCGTGGGTGGACTTGGCGAACCATCTCCTGCCGCCGTCGATGATTTCGGGAAAGATGAACATCAGGAAGACGCCGCGGATCCACGCGTTGCCGGACATGAGGATGCCGTTCTCCGTGGTGCCAAAGTTGAAGCGGGAGGTTGCGTACATCTGGATCAAGATGGGAGCGTAGCCTGTGGCGAACTAGAACGAGCTGTTAGTATAACCGTCGCACTCAGATTAGTGGGTGTTGAACATACCACACCAAAGAAGATACCCAGGGCAAGGAAGACCAGGCCGTAGTTCCTGATGATCTTGCCGTTTTCGAGGCGGTACTTCTGCGGCATGAGGACTTTAATCGGGGCCAAGAAGCCGGATGCGCCCGAGGTCGTCTTTCCATTTGCCTCATCGTCGTTATCGGGCGGTGAAGGCCAGAAGATGCCGCCGTATGTTGTTGCAACTGCAAAGCAGCCAACTGCAGACACGAACGGGCTCACGATGCCAAAGACATCCCCGATGACTCCTCCCACTGCGATGAATTAGCCACAGCCCGCAATGCTCTCGAGATACACAACTTACGCAAGTAGCCAATGGCTGTGCCAATCATGACCGCACCCTGCAGCCTGCCAAAGACGCCTGTATGCTTTCTTCTCTCAACCACCTCCGCAACAGCGGTGTTCAGCACAAGCCTAGCATCCCGCATTAGCGCACCCTATTCAGTCACTGAGGTGGAGAAGCTTCCGGTCAACACTTACATGTATCCCCGCGGCCCGCCGAGGATGCCGATCAGCTGGGTGTACTGCATCAAATCAATGCCGCGCTGCCCGCCGGTCGAGACGGCGACGATCTGGCACGCCACGCGGATGCCGAGCAGGCCGGTCTGGCTGACGAGGGCCCAGCGGGTGCCCCAGCGCTTGATGAGGTCGCCGCAGATGAAGAGGTTGAGGATGCCGCAGATGGAGGTCGTCATGCCGAGGATGGAGACCTGGCGCGCCGTGTTGGCGTCGATCTCGCGGCGCATGCACTGCTCCGAAGCGGGGCCGTCGAAGGGCGGGTGCGTGTTGTAGAACTGCTCGCAGGCCATCACGCGGAAGACGTAGATGATGCTGGACTGGCGTGTCAGTTTCAATGTTCTCTGGCAAGTAATGAAGGCTGTGGATGTCACGTACGGGACTTGTGTGATGCCGAGGGTGAGCGAGACTAGGAACCCGGCGAAGAGGATGCGGTTCGCGGGAGACCACAGGCCGCGGCCGACCCGCTTCACGGCCCCGGCGCCGGACTTGAGGAGAGGCGTCCGTTCATCTGCGGCCATTGGGACGGAGGACGTTTACGGAAGGTGATGGTGCAATTGCGCGATCTACGGCGCCGCCAATGGAGAGCGCGTGGAGGGAGGCTCAAGTAGAGTTTTTAATTGACAGAACCGGGAAGGTCGTCAAGGCAGAGAGGGGGGAGGGGAGGGGAAGGGGAAAGGGAACAGGGACAAACGGTGAGGAAAACACGGTTAAAGGGTGAAAAAATGGTATTGTTTCCCTTCGGCTGTGGTTCTGTTTCCCCGGATAACGAGTCGCAGAGACCGTTGCGAAAAGACGTGCGGAATCCCCGCTGTTGCGTCAGAAAAGAAATGGACCTTCCACCTTTGGGTGCTTGTTGGCCTGGGACTGGAAGAGTTCCTGGTGAAGAGACTGGGAATTGCATGTGGAGCGCCACCGATGACTGACCGACAAAAGACTGTTCGTCTATTCTTTGGGGGACTCTTCGGCTCTTCTGGGCGGTTCTGTTGGTGGCGTTGTGTGGGACGAACCAAACACAGCAGACATCAAATGGAGAACAGACATGACTGACCATGCAAGCAGCAGATTGTCTGCAGCCGAGCGCGGCGTTCGTCTTGCCGACCCGGTGTGGGATGCTGTGGGGTGTTTGACTTTTCAGAGACGGTCATAGGCGGGAGATAAAGTCGCCGGAGACATAAACGGCGCTCGACCGGAGCTTGGCCGGGAACTGCTGCTTATCGTCGGTCTGGAGCTGCCGAGGCGCACGGCACGATGATGCCCCGCCGCGGGAGAGCCCGATCCCGGAAGCTTTACTGTTTACAAGATACATAAGGTAGGTTGGCTGAGACATGTGTTGTTCATCTCGCTGTTGCTGTTGTTGTTGATGTTAATGATTACTTACATGAAGCTCTATGTGAGCTGCTGTTGTTCATGGTGTTGCTTATCACATGAATGACTATGACCTGCATTAGATGGAGTCGGAATTGCCCGAGGGAAACGTTTGTAACTGTTGGATATCATATCTCGATAGCTTCGATCGCGGGAACATGCCTGCTCCGACGCTATCTAACTCCGTTAAAGATAAGAAGCAGGGCGCAATCTCACTCACTCACTCGCTCATGACAGCGGATGTCCCAACACCAACTTGCCAAACTTTCCCAGCACCGCCACCTTCTTCACCTCCTCCAGCGCCTTCTCGGCCTCGCCCTTGAACACATCCACCACCGGCAACTCAAACTTGCTGCCGTAGTTATCGACAGTCCAGTGCACCGACTTCCACATCTTCGCCGCCGCCTCTGGCCTCGCAGGGATCTCGACCGTCGGCCCGCCCCCGAACGCCAGCTTCACCGGCGAATGCGCCGAGGCCAGCGGCATCTTGAGGCGCTTGTTCTTCCCGCCGACCACGGAGAGCACGCTCGCATCCGCGCCGACGCACCGCAGCATCTGCTCCGCCGAGCTGTCCTCGCCGACCGACCCGGCGCAGTCGGCGGCGTACGCAATCGGCCCCGCCTCCGCCACCGCGGCCTCGATCGCCGAGACCACATCCGGGGAAGCGTAGTCGAAGCAGCGCGTCGCTCCGAGCTTCTCCAGCAGCGCGTGCCGTTTGGGCGATGCGGTGACGAAGATGGGGGATGCGCCGCTTGCGCGGGCGAGCTGCAGCATGCACAACCCCACGCTCGTCGACGCGCCCCAGATGAGCAGCGGCCCGCGCGTGAACCCCGCGGCGGGCTGTTCTCCCGGAAGAGGGTAGTTGAAGATGCTGTACAGCCCATCGGCGGCAGTCGCCACGACGGTGGTGAGAGCCGCTGCGTGGTCGAGGGGGAGGTTGGCCGGCACCTTGAAGAGGAGCTCTTCGGGGCAGGCGAGGTACTCCTGGTGGGCGCCGTACTTCCACGGCTTGCCGACGCCGGTGGGCACATGTCCAGCCACGACGTCGCCGGCTTTGAAGAGCGAGCCCGGGTTTGCGCCGACGACGTGGCCGCTGAAGTCGTAGCCCATCACCGTGGAGCGGACGCCGAGGTGCGGCGCGTGCTTGACGTCGGCCGGGTTGACGCCTGAGAAGGATACCTTGACGACGACCTCGCCCGGGACGAGCTCGGGCACGGGCACATCGTGGATGATTTTGTAATTGCAGTCTTGGTCGACGAACAGGGCGGGCGCTGTTGATTTTGAGGGTAGAGACATGGTGATTGATGGGCTGCAGTCCAAGGTGAAGATGATTGCGAGAAAGTCAACCACAAAGACGCGCTGATGAAATGCTTCGAGATGCGATGCCTCAATAATGTGTTACAGCATCAAACACTCCATATTTACATCTAGCGTCCACATCACCCGTTGCCGAGCCCCTTTCCCGGACTATGGACATTGTCGGGGAGGCGGTGGGACATCGGAGACACAGAGCCAAGCCGGCCGTTGTGTCACAGAACGCAGGTATAAATCCGTAAAACCGTCGGCGACAGGACATTTGGCAAACGTGCGACTTCCTCGCGAACTTCGTAAGAGTAGTAATCGGCGAGCGGCACTCTCAAAGTGTCCGTCCGAGCACTTAGCACCACGCGCCACGCCGTTGGAGCCTCGGGACTCGGGACCCTCTTTACCATTACGGGACCTAGAGACCGACAAGGGATGGATGGAACTCCAGTCTCCAGTCTCCAGTGTCTCTGTCGCACGAGCAACTTCCGATGCGGGGGAAACTCTAAGCTTTTTTGGCGTGGTATCCCGCGGGCTGCCCTGCCCCGCGTCTTGGTGTGATGGCAGGGCCCATGTGTTCAGGAGCCTCAGATGACTCCGTCCCCGGTGGTGATGGTGGGCTTCATGCGATGATCTCGTTTTATCCTGAGGCGGGAATTTCTAGATTAATTGACTTCTCGACAAACTATGTAATGGCAACGGATTTACGGCTTTGCCGTGATGTGTTGCCGGTGAGGGGGCCGTGTCCACATTGTTTCCGTCAAGATCAAGTTGGTGGTGTAGCACATCTACATCCACGACGGGGAGGAGGTGGATCAGATGTCAAGATGGCTCGGCCCGTATAAGAAAGGAAGATGCCCCTTGGACTTATCGCAAACCTTAATCACAGCTAGGCCAGATAACGACTTTAATTATCTTCTTCCAAAATATCCCGACGATGGCGCCGTACTATGTCAACTCTATCGAGGTCCTGCAGCGCCCCGCGACCGCGCCGCCGTGGGAGCACCCCAAAGAGCCAACCCTTGTGGAGCTTCCCGCCGGCCACAAGAAGACCCCGGACCGTCGCCCACTGGATTGCGACATCATCCTTGAACGCGACCAGTTGTTGACACTGCGGGGTGGCGTGCGCATCCGGGCAGACATCTTTCGGCCGAAGACGGAGGGCAAGGTCCCGGCCGTGTTGATGTGGTCTCCGTATGGAAAGACTGGAACGGGTGGGTTTCTTTAGTGATTTGTAACTCACAAGACGGCTGATTTTTGGGCGTAGGGGCTCTCAACTTGGACAAGGTCCCTCTCACAGCTGGAGTTCCTCTGAGCAAGCTTTCGGGTTATGAGTCGTTTGAAGGGTTTGTTCCCTCTCTAACCACATCCTTGCTTCTGAGCTGACACCTTGAGGCAGACTTGACCCTGCCGAATGGGTCCCTAAAGGCTATGCCGTCGTCAACGCCGACGCCCGCGGCGTCGGCGATTCTGAAGGCGACATCAGAATCTGGGGCACCGGCGAGGGCCAAGACGGACACGACGCCATCGAAGAGATCGCCAAGCTTCCCTGGTGCACCGGGAAAGTCGCCCTGGCGGGGAACTCGTGGCTTGCGTTGTGCCAATGGTTCATCGCTGCCGAGCGGCCGCCTCATTTGGCTTGCATCGCGCCGTTCGAGGGCTGCAGCGACCATCTCCGGGAGACGCTGAGCAGAGGAGGCATTCCTGACAAGGGGTTTTCGGGGATGATCAATCACGTCCTTAATGGTAGGCAGCGACTTTTCTCGCGGTAGTTCAAGGGATGCTTACACAGGATTTACAGGCCGGAACATGATGGAAGACAACATTGCGATGCTGGACAAGTTCCCCAACTGTAGGGAGTACTGGGACGACAAGAGGGCTCGCATGGACAAGATTGAAGTCCCAGCATACATTCTTGCCAGCTACTCGACCATGCTTCACACCGTTGGTAGTTTCCGAGGATTCGAAGAGATCCCCCATCAGAAGAAATGGTGAGTATTCAGAAGTGCTGCAAAACGCCGATGCTAAAAATGACTAGGATCGCCGTTCATGCTACCCAGGAATGGTACGACCTCTACAGCAAATCTCGAGTCGACGACTTGCAACGCTTCTTTGACCGCTACCTCAAGGGCATCGAGAACGGTTGGGAAAAGACGCCGCCGGTGCGGCTCGCGGTCCTGGGCTTCAACAAGCCGCCCATCCTCGACCTCTCCTTCGACCATCTCCCGTGGCTGGCCCCCTACACCCCCACCACGAACGTGCAGAAGCTCTACTTGACGCAGAACAAGTCTCTCCAGCTGGCAAACGAGGCTATCTCCAGTACTCTCGAGTACAAAGACACCGAAAGGCTCGAGCTGGCATACACCTTCCAGCAACCAACCAAGCTGGCCGGCCCGACGAAGCTGGTGATCCACACCTCCTGCCCCTCACAGACGGACTTCGACATCTACGTGCAACTGAGAAAGAGGGACAGCAGTGGCATCGACTTGGTCCACGTCAACATGCCCCTGGAGGACCTCGGTGTCGCCGACGCAAAGGAGGTTCCCAACATCAACCCCCTGAAGTATCTCGGGCCGACGGGACAGCTGCGGGCGTCGAGGAGAAAGGTCGCGCCTGAGTTTGCGCAGAGTTACTGGCAGACCTTGGCGCAAGACACGGACGAGCCGGTGAAGGCGGGGGAGATAGTCAAGTTGGAAATCTGGGTCTGGCCCACGGCGATACAGTTTGATGCCGGAGAGCAGCTCGTGGTGAAGATTTCTGGCAACGGTATGAGTCTTCCCGAGTTTGAGCCGCTGGCGGTGCAGCCTCAGAACGTCGCACAGCAGCTGGTGCATGTTGGCGGGAAGTATGAGAGTTATCTAGAGGTTGTCTGGATCTAGAGTCATCTGGCTTGGGGTTTCAACGAGGTTGAACAGGGCATGGAGGAGAAATATTGGGAACAGAGCACAGAATGTCACCAAAACGGCGGTATGAACGAGGAGGTTTGTTGAATCATTCGAGGTCTTTAACTATTATGCGAGTGCCTCAATAAACTTGGCAAAGTCCAATGTCCCCAGACCCGTCGCCGGATCCCACCCCTCAGTCGCCAACCATCCGCTCTCAACCTGGTCGCCAATCGGACAGCTGCCACTCGATCCGCTCGTCACATCGACAAACGCAGAGCGGAGCTTGTCCGAGTAAAGAAGAGGATTCAGGAACCCCAACGGCGCCTTACCCTCCCTCATCCGCTTATCATTCGCAAGCGCAACCATCGCCGCCACGACCGGGGTGCTCGCGCTGGTCCCCTTCTGCGTCCACCCAGGCTGCATCAAGAACCGCGAGCCCACCGCAGACAGATCGGGACTCCCGCGCCCACCGGCTGTGTACCACCCAGCGTGCGATCCGTTGATGCGGTCAATGTACGCCTTGGCGGCGGACTCCTGCCAGGCGGGCCGCTCGAAGTACTCGCTGAACCCGCCGGAGCTGTACCACGCCGGCTCGGCGGGCAGATAGTTGCCCGTGGCGCCGACGCCGGTGACGTAAGGGCAGTCGACGGGGAACGTCGGGATGAACTTTGTGGTGTTCTTCCCGTCGTTGGACACGCAGTTGCCAGACCGCACACCGGCGGCGCCGCCGTCTCCAGTGGCGACCAGGACGGACACGCCGCGGGCGGCGACTTGCATGAACAGGTCGCAAACCTTGCGCGCGTACGGCAGCGGGATGGCCTGCTCATCATCCGTGTACGAGATGGAAATCACATGGGGGATCGTCTCCCGCGCGAGCAGCGCCTCGAGGAACTCAACCCACGGTTCGTCCCCGCTCTCCTGAGGCGTCTTTTCCTTCCCGTCGTCGCCGATCTCGGGGCCGCGGCCGCCGGTGGAGAAGTACGTCACGTTCATGGGCTGGATGAAGGGCATGCTGTACTGGATGTCGAGGAGGGCCTCGACGCCGCCGCCTTCGGTGGTGGTGTTGCCGCCGTTGATGGACTCGACGGTGAGGTTGTACGCGGGCGAGAAGCCGGTGGCGTTTCGGCGGGGGCTGTACGACGCGAGGAAGGCTTGCAGGGTGGGCACGTTGGGGTACTCGTCGAGGAAGCCCGCGATGCCGAAGTCCGTGGGGGACGGGCCGTTGGGAGGGGCGTAGTTGATGTTGTAGAGGTCTACGATGCATTGCGGCGTGGTGTAGTCCCAGTAGCTTTGAGGCACTGAGGAGTGGTTAGTCTTGAGCAACTGTGACTTGGATGGGAGGACCTACAACTGCTGGCTCGCTTGGTCTTCTTCAGCTCCTGCACGGAATCCTGTCTCCTAGGCGGCTTGCTGATGAACTGGGTAACCGGGAAGACGAAGTCGACATGTTCCGCCACACGGGCCGGGACGGTGTACTCCTTGGCACGGAGAACAGGCTTCTCGCCCTTGAACTGGTACTTGGAAAGCTTGCAGTCCAGCAGACGATTCGCCTTGCCGACGGTGGTGTTCAGACGCACCCACGCGCCGTCCAGCTTGAAGTCGTGGATCTCATACGTCTCGAGCCACGACGCGACAACCGGGTAGGCATCCAGACCGGGCTCGCGGAGGGTGTCTATGAGATCCCGAGAGACGTGCTGGCCATACTCGGTATGCGACGGATCGCTGGTGACATCGAGACGCTTCTTGAGCTCAGACAACCCGGGCTGCTTCAGGGCGATAGACAGCCGCACGGTCAAGAAGTCTTCTGCTGGGGCTACATGCCTCCATCCCCATGGAAGTTGAGAGACGGATTCATGAATGGCTCCGTCACGCTGTGTCGGATGACTGGAAGCAACACTACTTAGCAGCAGAGCGCTGACACTCGTAGCCCACGATAGTCTCATTCTGCCGGTGTCTCGCAGCAGACCAACGAACGAACAGAAGATGAGAAGATGCTCGGCAGGGAGGGACCATCGTTCCCCGGCTTGAGAGACAACCGCTGTCTAATACCATGGCCAAGAGCGAGGACAAGCTTTCTCGGCAGGGTCAGCCGCTAACTGCGACCCGCTGCTCGCCTTCGCAAAAGAAAACCACGTCCAATTTTTTTGACATCATGATGAATGGCTCATGGGCCCGGGGCGCCCCTGTACCAGTCGCCTTATTCTCCGCCAAAAAGTTCGTATCCAAGAGATCGGACGACTGCCGAACCTGGCTTAAAAAGAGGGGGCTTCCAGGGGTTGGCCGTGTTTTGCTTCTGGCCCCCGAGTTTTCCAGATGAACTGGTTCATTGCCTCGGTTCGCTGAGGAAGCAAGCAGTACGAAGAGGCAAGATCTATGTTGCTTCTCGAACTCCCCCAAAGCCCTTCGGGAGGAACAGATGATCAACAATATCGTCAATTATTGATTTTATTCAAAATACCCATTGTAACCTCTCACTGATTCGTATCTTTGTTGGTACTAAATAATGTTTACAGACCTGTTCCTTGGTCTTCATCAGAGCCGGCAAATCGGCGCGCATTGAGCCAATTTCGCTTTCAGCGGCCGCTAGAAGCACCGTTGATTCCACCACTGGCCTCACTGCAACCCCATCTAAGCACTCTATGTGAAGGTTGACACAATCTTAATACGAAGAAGGTTCTTTTGCGTCCCGCGGGATGCAGGTTAGCATGGACTGTCGAGGTTTGGGCGGAGGTTACGAGAAGATCGCCGCTCCGCGATCCTGCAACGGGAAGTTCGTTACGGCCCTGGTCGTGGTCACGATGTGATCCATCCCTCGGTGCTTCCCGGTTCTCTCAAAATAGCTTTTGTCATGCCCCAATTTTCATATCCGCCTCCGCGACCTCGTAAGGCGTGGACGGGAATAGCGGCAGCCTCTCCCAAAGACTCGTTAAGAAGGGCATCGTTCTCTTCCTCTCTCACCAGAGGGCTTCTTCTTCACGCTTCCGCCCTCCATCTGTCACTCGTTCAGTAAACCTCAATCGACAGGATGCGCACCCAGTCCCTCGCCATGGCGGCCCTGGCCAACACCGCCCTCGCCGCGATCCCGACCGTCAACATCCCGCTGCACTACTACTACGGCGGCGGCCACAAGATCGCGACCAACCTCGTCAACCCCAACTCCAACAAGTCCGTCGAGGTCGTTTTCGACCAGGGCTCGGAGAACTTCTGGGTCTTCGGCCCCGACGCCATCAACAACTGGGGGTGCACCGCCTTCTTCTGCCAGGGCAAATGCAACGTCACCGTAGACCCCTTCTACGACTACCCCAACAGCCCGACGGCGCAGAAGCCCGAGCCCTTCCCCTCGCAGTTCGCCTATGGCGGCTACACCAAGATCGTGCAGGGCAAGGTGAGCGTCAACGACACGTTCCACTTCGCTGGCGACGCGGGCCTTACTTCAGACGTTGCCGCCAGGGTCGCGATCGCGGAGTACATGCAGCAGCGCCTCCCGGCCAACCAGGACGGCACCTGCGGCTCGGCCGGGGCATACGATCTCGGCATCTTCGGCGTGGCGCCGTTCTACCGCACCGCCGAGTGGAACACTACCGGGCCGCACGTCCGCCAGGACCTCCTCGAGAGGGGCGAGATCAGCGCGCCCGTCCAGAGCATCTGGTTCGACGAGGCCCCCGAGAACTGGGACGGCACCTTCACCGGCAACGCAGTCTTCGGCGCGATTGACCACTCAAAGTACACGGGCGAGCTCGTCAAGGTGCCCCCCGTGAAGAACGACGGCCTCGGTGCCACCGTTGGCTACTTCGTCGCTCCCCCCACCGTCAAGGTGAAGAACGTCACCCTCGACAACAGCCAGCTGAGCACCCGGTCTTGCATGATCGACTCCGGCACCCAGATCAACGACCTGCCCATCAGCTCGTCCGCGATGGATGCCTTCTCCGCTGCGGCCGGTCTCGCCCGGGACCCCATCGGCCACACTGCCTGGAACGGCAGCTGTGACTCCATCCCCAAGGATCTGACCATCGACCTTGAGTTTGAGGGCGTCGGAGGCAAGAAGGTTACGATCAAGACTCCCCTGCGCAACTATGTCCGCAACAACGCCGATGCGGCGCCTGGGTTCTGCGCGCTCAACATCGATACTGGCGGCTGCATGCTCGGTGCTCCTTTCGCGACGGCTGCCTTCTTTGCTGCCAACGATGCTGAGAATGAGATTGCTCTGGCACAGGGCGGTGTGTCTAAGAGGGGAAGCAAGCCTGATGAGGCTTCGTTCACTCTCACCATTGCTTGAAAGGGCTGGTGATGCAGTCTGATAATGAATAATAAGTAATACCAACACAAACGTGGCAATCTTCCGTGAAACGTGTCTTAATTGCATCATCATAAGATCTCATTCTCCTCTGACTGGGCATGAAGGTTCATTAACTCGAGATATTGTTCTGGGGTCCTCCCTATATCAGGCCACTACAAGGAATACTTCTTCGTGCCCTTCCTTGGGGAAATTTTCACCCAAAAACCGATGGGCCGCTCGTTGAACCACCCGTAATGGTGCAGTTTGTAGTTCGGGTCAACCAACTCAAAGTCGAACTCCTTGATCAACTTCGCCATCACAACCATTTGCCACAGCCATGCGTAGTGCTTTCCGATGCACTCTCTTCTGCCATTGCCATAGTATTTCTTGACTCCCTCCGGGAGCTTGTCGTACTTCTCCCCAACCATTCTCTCTGGCTTGAATAGGACGCCGTCCTTGCCAAAGAAGGCTTCGTCTCGGCTTGCGCCAGCCAGAACGACAATCATTCCCTGGTCGTGGGGTATCTGGTACATGCCCTTCTCTCCAGCCAGAGTCACTGGGGCAGTGTCTCCCTTGGAATGAGGGAGTGGCTCGATGTTGAAGCCGGGTGCCGCGAAGGAAAGACGCAGCGACTCGCGAACAATGCCCTCAATGTACTTCAATTTGCTCACATTTTCGTAGGTGAGTTCGTAGTCCCCGACCACGGCGTCAAGTTCCTTCCGAGCTGCAGCCATGACTGCGGGGTCGTTCGCGAGGTAGTACATGCCCCCAGCAATGGCGCAAGGGGCGGTGCTGCTCCCGATGGGCATGGACACGATCTCGTCCACGACTTCAGAATCCGTCTTCGAAACGTTACGCATCTTTCTGGGTACGTTGGTCTCGGGGTCGGTTGCAGTAGCGCTCAGCATGGCTGCAAGAAGATCTTTCCGATCTGTGGGGTTTTGTCGCCTGTAGTCGATCAAGTCTTGGGCGTAGGTCCTCATCTCGTCTGTGGCTATGTCGAGCTTGTTCTTGTTCATGAACTTTTGCCATGGAAGCTTTCTGTTTGGGCGTTGCACGGCTTCTCCGGTCCCCGTATCCATTGCCCCCAGCATGTAGTGGCCGGTTTCGAGACAGTTGAGCTTCTTTCCAAATAGCGACAGCGTTGTCGCCTCGAGATTGAGTCGATCCAGCTGAACCAGAGGCTCGATCTCGGCACCTGGAGCTTTGTCCCTCCACAAGTCGAAAAGCTCATTGGTCGTGTTGAGGAAGTCACCAAAGAGATGCTCGCATGATTCCGGCGTGAGCTTCGGCGCAATTATGTTGTGGTGGACCAGCCACTGAGGAGAATTCTGGTCAGCTGTGAAGAGTGCGACATTGACCGCTGTTCGAATCTCCTTGATGGGCGCGGTGACCTGCTTGCGAAAGCGCTGCTCATTGCACACTTCTTCCACAAGTTTATGACCCGTGATAAAGACGATAGTCTTTGGGCCGACCTTGGCCTGGAAGATCTCACCATGCCCGTCTTGCTCGGCTAGTTTCTTGAAGTATGGCCATGGGTTGCTGGCATTGGCGGCGAACTGGAGCGTGTTGCCGCCAATCTTGGGGACCCAGTTGGGGAGGAGTGGTTTGGCTTGGGGAATGGAGGTGATCTTGTCCGACATGTTGATATCCTGTTCGGAAATTCAAAGCCAAAAGTGGCAGACACAAAACGACAGTGGAAGTGAAGAGCCGGGATCCTTCAGGTCTTGTGTTAAATAGATCAGGTTGTCCTTCCGAGGCAGCTTGACGGCCCCGAATGTCTTCTGAATTCCTCATCTATCCGTTCGCGCGTCAACTGTCTCGCAATGGCTGTTATTTGTCTCACTAGACCACAGAATAGCGCATGCGCGACGGCCCGTAATCGAATACAGAGCTGTTGTAATTGGATCCCTGACTGTCAATCGCAGCTCGTTTTCATGCTTCGAGCAGAGCCATGTCTCACAGTGTCAGACAAGAGCTGATTATTCTCTGCTGTCAAACATGTGCACAGCATATTCGAACAAGTTGGCAAAGTACAGCACGCTATCGGACTTCGTGGTCACTTCCCCGCTCCAGCTTTGAAATCCGATGTTTGACATGGAGGAATTGGTTGGTTGAGTTTACTGTTGCTGCTAGTTCGCTTGCTTTGGGCACTGAGTATGCCGGATTGAGGAAATCCTCAAGATGTTTTGTCTATGAATCTGGATCAAGGGAAGAACTTCGAGCAATGATCTGCACAGATCTACGAGATAGCTCTCCCTGGTGCGTCGTTAGGTGAGACATGTAATCGCAGCGGCGCTTGGCACAAGTTTACACAGTGGTGTTTAGGTGTTGTGTCTCTCCAGCAGCACGGGAAAGCTACCCGTCCGTATTAGTGGATCGGGGATCGACGTGGCCCTCTCCTCGCAACAGGCTTTCCGTGTGTGCTTGTCCTTGCAGCTGTAGTGAAAGCTTGCTAACTTGTCCAGGCCACAAATTTCGAGGGAAATGTGGGTTTGATAGATACCTAACATGAGTGACTGACTGCGCGCAGCATTCGACACAAAAAAGGAGACTGAACTGAGTGAGATAAGACTCATCCGCGTCATGCTAATACTGTCAGGCGCATCAAGCAAGCACACACACACACCAGCAGCCAATCGACCTTGAACAATAGGAGAGCCCTCAAAAATGTCAAAAAGTGAAGATGCGGCCAGTGTGGATTGAACACACGACCTTCAGATAAAGTGATTGAAGTTTTCAATGGGCCGTAGAGACCCATACTTCAGTCTGACGCTCTCCCAACTGAGCTATGTCCGCCGCTCATCTTCGGACCCAACCAAACTGCAACACACAGATGTACCCCACCCCACGCACTTGTGGTTGACTGAGATCTACGAGCGGCCATTAGAGCATGCTCACGAGGCCTGAATTAATCGGATTCGGCCTTTCCTCATCATTGGTACTAGTGAAATTTCAAAGCTCATGCCCTTGACATTCGGTGAGAGCTAGGTTCTTCTTCAGTAGGTACGGGAGTGTTGGCTCGAGATTGAAGGCTCACTGCCACCATTTCGGACGAGAAAGGACAAGTCTGCCTCCGGCTCTGACTTTGACATCCGATATCATGAGGTCCACTGAAGACTTCGTCTATAAACTATCGCCAATGCATATAGATGAACGATACGCTGCATCAATCCCTTTGTGATCCTACACTTTCCTCCCCTTCAAGACCTCGAACGCGAATGATACAAATACCTTGACAATTCAGCAATCACTGGGAGACCATTCTTTCTTGATTCGCCTCTTCGTAATTTTTTCCCAAACCCACGAGGAAAGTGGGATGAGAAACGAATGCTCTCAGTTGAAGTATTCTCGGGAAACAATACCGCTCTTATTACGAACAGCTCCATAGAAATTATCTCTGCCTATTCCCACTGTTAGTCGAAGGAAATTCCTTTATGTGGGTTACCCCGAGCGTTTATAGTATGACTTACGCTTAAGAAACTGTCTCCATGACAAGATCAACAATCCGGATAATCCACGCCGAAAGCGTTGGTGCACTCAGAGTCGTTCAGTGTTGAACCAAATTTGTTGTCGTCGCAACCGCACCCCCAAAAGGCGTGCTTGCAGCCGGCGGTGCATCTCTCTCCGTTGGCGTAGTAGCAGTTGATCCAGCCGCCCGGGCAAGTACGGGCCGTGACAGTGGCTACGGCACCGAGAGCGATGGCAACAAGTGTAAGACGTACCATGATTATACGAATGAGTGGAAATGACTGAATGAGTAAAACAGAGGGTGTCAGGTTTCGAATGGTGGTGACTGTTAGAGCGACAAATACCGTGCCAAAGAGAACAAGACGTCTGCATGGGCAAGCAAGGTGTTTAAGTAGACACCGAGAATCCGTGGACTCTTCAATGATTGAATACCAGTCCCATGGCACTGCCCCTCTCTTTGTCTATGCTTATTCATACAAAGTAGGATGTTCATCGCATATGACTCGTCTGAAATCCAGCTCCCAAGTTGCCGATGATGTTCACAAGGCTACCCGAAGTTACGATCCAATGGGAACTATTATCATCTAGGCAGAACCATTCAGTGCTCCGCACAGTAAAGTCTAAGACGCCGATCCTATTGTTCTTAAAACTTAATTAGAGGTACGGATGCTTCTCTTCTTTCCCAACGGAGGCAAAAAAGGAAATTTCGCTGACTCATACTATTTCTGGCTGCTTAACTTGAGGAGACTGCAATTTGAGCTAGACGGCCAGAAAGAAGCATTGATTGTAGCCGACGAGTCCAGGTACTAGTTTTTGACATATCTTCACTATCGGGGTGCTCGCTGTCTCCGTCAACGCAATCTTTCTTTCGCGGCATGTCACATGTTCACGTGCTGAATCATTTCATCACTAGCACCGACTGCAGTACAGCTGCTCGTGTTGAGTCAAGCCGCAGAAGCTTCGGTGGGCGATTCGATTGAAGGATTCGTAGATTCTGCATCGTCTCGGTGATAGGTAATAAAGTGAGCTTTATCTGGGCGCCGCCTGCTCTGTCTATCCGTATACGGCCACCCATTAATCTGGAGGCGCAGACGAGGGCGCAGGGGTTGGACTTATGTTTCGGTCAATGAGAGCCGCTGGACGCTCTGCTGCTGCTCCTCTGCATCATAAGGTCGGACCGACACCTTCGATTGTTCTAATTTCTGTGTCGTAAGTTCTCCGTGTTGCATCCCCCAGGGAACATAAGCCTCATGCGCGAGGAGAGGCAGTGTGGCGTTTGTGAACATGCCTTTATGGAATAACCAAGGGTACGTGTACCGGTAAAATTCGTCTTGTGGGATCTATTTTGGCTCAGAAACGTTGAACTGTAGATGAAAAAGCACCCTTTGGCAGGCTTTCATTCTTCTGACCTCCTAAGGAATGCAGCGGCATTTCCGACATCAACAGGTGGCTGTTTTGGGAAGTTGCAATTTGGTGAGTAAGACATGGCTGGCATTTGGAATTACTGCCGGTCAGGTTTCTGGGAAAGCCCTTATTGCAGCATAATCCTTAATCCTGCATTTTCGGTCTTTTGATGCTCAGACCGCGCCAATGTGGCTTCTGTGGCAGATCTTCTTCTGTATCTCATGTCTGTCTGTCTGTTTATTTCGGTATCGGAAGAGAAGGACAAGGCCGCCGGGTGGGAATAATTGCACAATGCGAGCCAGAACAAAAGACATGGCAGACTTGAGACCAGCTGAGGTTTGGATTGCGTTCTCGCAAACCCGACAGTCTGGGTAGCATTCCCGGTAGCTGAAGGTAGTTTCTCAGCTCTGGCAAATGTCATCCCACAGGGTTGATGATTATGCCGACTCAAGCAATGCTTATATTCATTCTGGCCCCCTACGCGTTGCTATCGGACTCGCGAAGTCTTCCGTCCTAACCACAATCACTCTCAATTTTTCATCGCCGTCAGGCACTAAAGTCATGATGAAGCCCTTCTGGCTTGCAGTAGTCATCGCTGACTTTATCCGAAGCTCTTCGGCTATCCTTCAATACTCTTACAACATTTTACCCAGTTCGACCACTTCGTCCACACTGCTCAGCGCTTTAGAAACATCTTCATCTGTACTCTCATCCTCATCAACTGCGTCGCCTGCAGCTCAAGTATCGCTTAGTTTGAGCTCAAGCCTTATACTGACAACGACGACTTTCGACCCGTCAAGCAGTCTTACCTCTTTTCCAACTGGTACTACGCTCTCTACGTCAAGTTCGACCATCATCTCATCCTCATCTACGACGATCAGCACGTCAAGCAGTTCGAGTTCGTCATCAGCCATTATCGCTGTGTCTTCCTCAAATTCAATCTCAGTGCTGTCGACAAGTTCCACTTCATCAAACAGCGTCAGTTCGTCTTCGACTAGTTTTGGGCTGTCTACCACAAGTACATCCATATCTCCATCTAACAGCTCCTCCGTCGGATCCATCACCAATACCTCACAAGCATCCATAATTGCAGCAGGATCCTCAAGCGGAACGTCAACTACCTCATTCAATACCTTTTCTATCCCTGGCGCCAGTTCTGTTGTGAACAGTAGCATCACAGCTTCTTTCAGCACAAATGGATTGCCAAGCTCCAGCGTGCTTCTCAGCTCGACGCTTACTGTATTGCGTACTTCTTCAAGCTCAAGTGCTTCTTCGGGTTTGAGTACTTCTTCGAGCTCTGGTACTGTCTCGCCTACAACCACATCTTCATTGGCATCGATAAGCTCTACAACAACGCCCTCTTCAAACACAACATTAATTTCAATCTCTGCCGGAGAGTCGCATACTACGCCTTTGGAGGTACGAACAACATTCCAGAGTCTTATAACAGATAGTTTCTCTTCGACTTCCAGCACTCTCGCTATCTCCTCATCAGCAACGACGGTCGAACCTCCTAGCTCTTCACCATCATCAGCTACAACGATATCTCCCGGAGTGTTGTTTGTGCTCACCATTTTTACGGCACCTCAAGCAACACCATCTTTTCCATAACCTAAATGCCATCAGAGAGGTTGATGATCGTGGACTGCAACAAAACTTTATCCATTAATAACTACAATAATTGCATTAAGAGATGCTGTCGGCATATGAGTCGTTGTTCCATGAAAGCTGAGGCCAAATTAGCTCACATGATGTGCCGTTCGTCCTG